TCCAGCGAAGCTTGAATGCTGTCCCACCCAGTCTGAGGAATTTCCAAATGTTTGAAGCTTGGCAATGACCAAAAACTCCACTTGAATGCAGAATAGGATATTTGGAAGTGAGACACAATATTTTTGGTGATCTAACAAACACATTTATTATAACTTGTTCAACTCTGAAATGTTCATATGTGGCTCAATCTACATATAGTTTATTTAATTACTAACGCAAGACTCATTGAAAATAATGTTCACCTTTTAGTATTTTGATACAAAATGAGTCAAGCTATAACATATTAGGAATCTAATGTCTCCTTATTTTCTCTGTTTCTGAGAAGAAACTATGAGTAATATGGGAAAAGCATTCTTATATTTTTTGGGATAAACCACTTTTTTTTGTTCTTTTTTTTTTTTTTTTGACAGGCAGAGTGGGCAGTGAGAGACAGAGAGAAAGGTCTTCCTTTGCCGTTGGTTCTCCCTCCAATGGCCGCTGTGGCTGGTGCGCTGTGACCGGCGCACCGCGCTGATCTGAAGTCAGGAGCCAGGTACTTCTCCTGGTCTCCCATGGGGTGCAGGGCCCAAGTACTTGGGCCATCCTCCACTGCCCTCCCGGGCCACAGCAGAGAGCTGGCCTGGAAGAGGGGCAACTGGGACAGAATCTGGTGCCCTGATCGGGACTAGAACCCGGTGTGCCGGCGCCGTAAAGCGGAGGATTAGCCTATTGAGCCGTGGTGCCGGCCAAGGGATAAACCACTTTTTATTGAGTCCAACATATAAATGAAGCACCTATTTTTAGAAAACAGCTTAAAAAAAAACCTCTCCCCAAAGACCATTCTCAAAATAAAACATGTCCAATGCTTACAAAGGAAAAAGAAACTTGCTGCATTTTCTATTTTGTCACATGGACATTTGTTTAATCTTCTCATTTCCTACACAATTGTGACTTCTGTCATGTCAGCTTCATTACCCTTGATGAAAACATGGAGTCCATCCATCCAGAGACGAGCTTCCAAACATTGTTTCGGCTGTGGTGTTTGCCGATTGCCAGACATAGTCAATGACTTTGCCTTGGTTCAACAGGTGACCAAGGGAGTAGGTAACCCAAGCCAGCAAAAGAGTCCTCATAAGATGAGGATGATCCATCTACATACGGATGAGTGTGGAAGGCATCACATGGAGTCAAAGAAGCCAGATGCAGAAATGCTGACCGATTCCACTTGCATGAGATATAAAGAATAGGCAAATTCATGGCATACAAAGTATGGGATCCCTGGGGCTTGAACGGGGTAGGATTAGGGAGTTATTGTCTAACGGGTAGAGCTTTTTGTTGGGAATGATGAAAAAATTTTGGGTGTAGTTAATGCTGATTGGTTATATAGCATGACGAATATATTTTACGTTACTGATTGTACAATTCCGACTAGTTAAAATGACAAGTATAATATGTATTTTGCCACAATAAAAATATTATAAAAAGAAGGTAAGAGTTCTGCAGAGACATTACAACCAAGGGCAGGAAGTTCTAGATGCTATTACTGAATCTGATTCAACCTCAGAGAGTTCATTTGCAGGCTCTCTTTCCCTTCATTTGGTTCATTCACCTATTTACTTGGAGATACTGTCAGGTCATATTGGACTTGGAGCAGTAGAAGGATAGGAACAGAGGTATAGCCACATTCACAAATGATTAAAATACCATAGAAGGGGTATAGCAGAAATAGAAGTAGTGGCGGGAACACAGGAGAGAAACGGGAATCACAGCTTCACAGAAGAGTTGATAATTGACCTGGGCCTGATGTTTGCATGGGAATTGGGTCGCTTACTTTGTACTTTCATAATATGCAGTACCTTATCATTCACATTTCGTGCCTAGGAATCTTGGATCTAAGATGTTTTCAGCCTCTTCAAATATTTTCTCCTTGTGTATTTATAAACAAACTGGTCCCTGGAGGCAGAAAAACATCTTTGTTCACTCTCTGTCCTACTTTCTAAATATTTATAAGCAAAACCACTTTGACAAATAATTCAAAGTAAATGAGATGAGCTTGGGTCCCCAGAAGAGCTTGCATTGCACTCTTAACGCAAGTTGGGGGTTAAGGAAGGGGCAGCTGGGTGGTGAGCACCTTAAGGAGCAGTCAATGTGGGACAGCTGAACAGGGGTAGGGAACCAACACAGAGAAGCCCGGCTGAGCAGCGGGGGTCCTTGTGTTTTCCCAATTAGGGCCATATAGAACTGTGACAACCAGGTATGAAGGAGGTCATTTTGTCTGCATAGAATGAGCAAGAGCAGAATGGCAAATAATGGGGATATCCAGGGAAGCAGAGAAAAAGGAAGGTCACAAGATCTCAAATCATGGTTCATGGTTCCACTCTCCTGCTTATTCTTGGAAGCACAAACCATGATTTGCTGAGTAGATGTGGGAGAGAAAGTCCTGAGGAGTCTTTACGCCCCTACTCCTGGATAGGGGGGTGGCACAGAAAAAAGGAGAAAAAGGGGCGCGGTGATGCAAAAACAATGGATGGGCACCGGGCTCAAGAGGTGGGGGTTGGGTGGGCAAGGACTGAATTAGAAGCAGGACGAGTAAAAGTAAGAAGTTTTGAGGTCAGGGCCTTCAGTTCAAATACTGGATTCAGTATTTACTAGCTGCAAAGTTGGCCAATCTGGGGACAATAATGGGCTATCATACAGGGTTACTATGAGGCTTGCAGAAGACAGAGGGTCAGACGGATGTAGACTTGGACCACCCTCCCGGGCGCCACTGGTAGTTCCTCCCCTAGGAAATCTTTAAATTCTCATCCTAACCTCAGTGTAACATGATTTAGTTATTTTTCCCTCCAAAAATGTTTTCACATAATTGAAGATAAAATACATATTTAATATATTTCTAGAGATTTAATGTGATTAATTTCAAGTACAAACAATAATCTCACAATCCCTGTAGGTTCTTCTAGTGCAGGGACTGATCTCCAGGAATTATGCAAATATTTTTGGAGGCTGAATTAACCATTTCATTCCTTTGAGTTGCCATGCAGGGTTCAGCATCGTGTGTTTAGGAAATGGCACCGTCTTGTCAGATCTCATAGGAGGTCCCTTCAGTTCCTCTGCCCAATCACACAACGACTTCGTGTGGGTACAGAGCTCTGAGTCAGGTTTTACTGTGGGCAGCCCATCCTTCTGCTGAAGGGACTCCTGGGGAATACTTCAAAGGAATAATGCATATTTAAAAGCATCTTCTGTGCTTTCAACAGAAGTAGCACAGGCAGTAGTACTTTCTCTCTAGTCCCTACTAAACCTTGTCTTCAGAATTAGCCAGTTCACTGAATTTGTTTTTTTATCAGATTTTCATGTGAACCATGCAGGCTTCCGACTCCACAGTGACCTTATCTGTACATGCAGTCTTCTCCCTCTGTTGTACCCTTACTGTTGCCTCCTGACTTAGGGATGATGGTGGGTAGCAAGAGATGACAAGGGACATCCTCTGGTGTTTAATGTAACACTGGCACTTAACTTGGATCCCACAGCACCTCTGTTTCCTCTGTCACCCTCATCACATGAAAACTTTTCAGAAAAATGATTTTTTTCCCAATGAACTCTGATAATATTAAGCAATAGGTTATTTAGCTCCATACTCACAGTGTTAGCCCTGAGCCTGAACAAAACAGAGCTGTAGATACTCATGGGAGGTGAGGAGCAGTACATTAATTTATGAGGGCTCAATTAAAAGAATGTGAGGATAATAATATCCAATGAGAAATTACGAATATCTTTTCACAATTTCAAAGAATAATCAGTTTGTCTTCCCCCAAAAGTGTTCTACTTAAAATTAACTGATATCTTGAATACTTGTCTTTTTTGTGATTTTTATGCATGGAAGCAGGGGGTGGCATAGGAAGGGTGACACAAGTTAAACTCTCTCCTTTTTTTCAAAAGAAGGGTACTCCAAATCTAAATTATTCCAACTGTGAATTATTTAATTCCCTTTCTAATGTGTATGTTTTTCAGAAAACATAAATCCAGGAATAAAATGAACTAATTGGCTACTTTGTACCTGTCCAGGAGTACAAAGAGGTAACATCAATGGGGATTACATTTTGCATGCTGTATCTTAGTATTTGACAATAATGCCTATCCTAAAGCTGCTCAATCTCCTTTCTTGATACTTTCTACTTTACAATCTTCATATATTCTTATTTGAAATAATGTTCTGTCTACTTTAAATATATTTACTTATTTATTCATTTCAAAGGCAGAGTGACAGAGAGGGAGAGACAGAGGGAAGATCTTCCATCTGCTGGTTTACTCCCTAAATGGTTGCAATAGCCAGGTCTTGGGCAGGCCAAAGCCAGGAACCAAGAACTTCATCCTGGTTTCCCACATGGGTGGTAGGGGCTCAAGTACTTGAGCCATCTTTTGCTGCCTTCCTGGGCACAGTGAGCAGGAATCTGGATCAGAAGTAAAGTATCTGGGACTCAAACCAGAACTCCATATAGGATGCCAGTGTCGCAAGCAGCAGCTTCATCCACTGTGCCACATGCTGGATCCATTTTGTCTCTTTAAAAAAAATATATTTATTTGAAAGGCAGAGAGACAGGGAAAGACAGAGAGAGACAGATAGACAGACAGACAGAGACACCGAGAGACTGGGAGTTCCCACCTGCTGGTTCATTTCCTAAATGTCCGCAATAGCCAGGGCTGGGCCACGCTGAAGCCAGGAGCTGAGAATTCAATCCAGGTCTCCTACGTGGGTGCATAGATCCAACGAGTGGAGCCACCACCTGCTGCCTCCCAGCGGCAATTTAGCAGGAAGCCAGAACTGGAAGTGGAGCCAGGACTCAAACATAGGCACTCAGATATGAGATGAAGGTGTCCCAACCGGAATCCAAACTGCTAGGCCAAATGCTCACCCTGTATTGTCTCTTAATGTTACTTGTGTATTTAGTCATTGAAAAATGGCAGGCTACAGATTTCTTAAGGAAAAAATAAAATGTCAAAGAATAATTGGCACAACCAATATGGTAGAAGTCATATTTATTGAAAAAAATTAATATCTTTGCTATAAAATTTGTAACAGGAATATTTACTGAATGTTTATTTTGATGCATAAACCTGAATGTTACAAGACAATACAAGACAGTAGCACTAGTTTTTCCTTTATTTACATTTTATGAAAATTGTTATGCAGTCCATGTTCAAAGAACCTATGATGGAGAATTGTTACATTAGAAAAATAATATTCTTGATAAAGCATTCTCAAGGAGTCCAATCATATTTTCTGCCTCTTCAATAAGGCAAAAGTCCCTGGAACAGCATATAACTTAATTTACAAAATACAATAACTGTTCAGACACATATTCAAGTTTTCTTTTGGTATGATTTTTTCCCCTCGTTGTAATTACTGTTCTTTTTTTTCCCTTTTCTTCTTTTCTTTCTTTCTTTTTTTTTTTTTTTTTTACTAAAACAGGAAGATAGACTTTCAGTAAAATGTCATTGAATGATTTTGGCTATACATTACATACACAACTCTGTAGCCTAGCAATGACCATTGCCACACCATCACTAACTGGAAATATTCTGCTGGGCGAGCGAGTGTCGAATGTGGCGTACGTTAGCAATTTTGCCATCGCTATGACGGTGGGATCACTGCGTGGTATTTTCAGAGGAGACGGCTCTGTCACAGTATGAAGCTTGGTTTACTTTAAGGAACTGCTACGCGACTACGTTTCCACTCATGAGAGGACGCCACAGATGGAACGAAGGTCAGGCTGCGATGGCTCTGCAAAGGCCCAGCACCGGCCAACCCCAAACCTCCGGCTCGCCGCAGGCTGCGCAGCCCCGGCCGGCTCCGGACGCTTTCCCTGCCAGGCATGTTTTTTGTTTGTTTTTTATTTTTATTTTTTCCCTCCCTTTGCTTTTTGTAGTTAGGTAGTTTTGATTCCTTCGAAGGCACACAACTTCCAGCGCTTTTCCAGCGTCGCTCCCACCCCTGTGAATTCCTGCTTGAACATGCGCGGCAGCCTCATCAAAAGCATCTCGATTTCGTTGGCAGAGATCTGTCAGACAGGAAGAAAAGTCACTTGTGGGACAAGGGGCTCACGGGGAAGAAGGCAATGGGTGCAGCACCCACAGCACTGAGCCTTCTACACGGCAGGCACAGAGCGCCCCCCCGGAAGGGGTACGGGTACCGTGCCGCACGTGGCCCTCCTGCCTCCTGTGCAGTGGCCGGGCGGGCAGGAGGGGAATGGCGGTGACTTCCGGGGCCACCCTGCACAGGGCTGGCCACCTTCTAGGCAGCACCACGCCCCAGCAGCCTCCCCCAGCAGGGAGCACAGTCATGACCACTCTGGAAAGCTACAATGGGCAGCCGCGGTCTCTCACTCAGCACCGAGCACAAAGCTGTTTGGGCGGATTTCTGGCCTCCCTAACTTCTTTCTCTTCCTTGAACTTTCACAGGGACAAGAGACCAGGAAGGTTTAGGCATGGAAACTAAGCCCCAAACCTATGGCAATAAAAATCTTGACATCCAGTCAGAAAATCCAGGTAGGTTTTTTTAATGCATTTTTTTCTTCTCTCATTTTTCTCTTTTTTTTGTGTGTGTGTTTTACATGATCTTTTTATACCAATAAGCCACCTTTTCGTATTCAAAGGAAGAACAAATGAACCAGAATCCTTCAGGTATTACACAGTCAGGGCTCTCGTTTTCCTGTGGATTCCTAGTCATCTGTGTACCATGAGGATGAGAAAGGTGGCGAATTTGGGATCTGATGTTCTTTTTGAATATTTTACCTATTATTTTATAAATGGCCAATATAAAAAATCATTAGTCTGAGCCTCAGCAAATGGGAACAGCATTTAATAAGGATGGTGTGAAAACCGCTGGCTTAGCACAGATTTGGACATGTAGAACTGCTCAGGAAAATCAGAGTGGTGATAAGTCTTTGTGGTGTAATCACTGTAGAAATGGCATTTTGCAGTCTGTACTTCCCATTTAACAATATTAAGATCTGCTTAAAGAGAGACCAAATAGACCAGCAAGTCTAATCAACTGTTCCTTTGCTATTCACTGGGAAAAGGTTTCATATGATATATTCAATATCCTTTGACTTATAATTCAAAATTTTAAATAGAAGCTGTCCTGAAAATTGAAACAAAGTGTATTCTAAAAATTGTGAGTTGTTTTGAAATCTGAATGCATTTTTTTTTGCCACAAAACTAGGATATCAGGATTATCCAGGATAGCAAGATTATACCAGGCCAACCCACAAAAACCTAGTCAACAGATTATCAAAAAGTTCACTGTGCTTTTGAAAAGCACAATTTCTTTCAATGAGCACCGTGCAAAGCACCTTCAGCAACAGTCCCATTTGATTCTTACCACACTCTCGTGAGACACGTGGGGCAGATAGGAGGGACTTCAATAAGTTCATGGGAAATGTGTGTTACGAAAAAACTACACATGGATTTCAAAGTTTTTGCATCCAACTAAACATCTTTTAATTCCGTTTTCCCACCAGCGTTTTGCACTGTGTTCCTATTAGGATGTCTTTCTACTTGATAGCTGAGGAAAATGAGTGACCAGCAGAGAGGGTGAAGTGGTTTTGCAAAGGTAGGACTTGAGAAAGCACCTCCTGCTCATTGGCTGGGCCCTGGCCGTTGGTGTGGTGTAAGCACTCCCCATGGCTGACAATAGCTAGGGGTGCAGCCAGCCATTCTAAACAGCTATTACCTGGTACCCTGTTAGCACGTCAGAATCCCTGGGCCTCTTCTCCAAAGACCCCGACTCAGTAGGTCGGGGTATATCCCAGGTGATCCACTTTTAACTACCACCCCCAGGTAATTCTTACGATCAGGCGTATTTGGGTTAAGAGCGGGATTTGTATCAGACAGGCTTGGATCTCACTCTGGGCTGGGCCTCAAGCTGCATAACCTTGGGCTGATCACTTCCTATGTGTAATTCTCAGTTTCTTCACGTGTGTAGTAGAAATAGTATCTCTCTTCACACACACACACACACACACACACACACAGAGTAATACCGATAGAAAGCAACTCTCTGCTACCAAATCTTTTATGGTCAAGCTGTGTGCTCATAAGCCAAAGTGCACAAGTGTTGAGTGGTGTGGTCAAATCCAGCCTGTAGTCGGGCTGGTGGGCAGTATTTTTAAGCTCTATGAGGCTATTATCCTCTTAACAAACTCCTTCTTTCCTTGGGAGGAAGACAGCGTAGCTAATCTGTGGTGGGCTCCAGTCTCCAAGGTCAAGGGCCACCTGTGGCAAGAGTCATCCTTGTCCAGATCAAGTGGACAGAATGAGTGCCAGCCAGCTCACCAGAGTCCCGTGCCCAGTATAGCAATCACCTTCCCTGGCAATGTAATGAAGAAGTCTGTGGTATTAGGAAGGAGCGGGCTTAAGGAGGATCGAAAAAGCTGAGTCCCTAAAGGCAAAAGAAACAGCCTGATGCAAACAGGATGTCTACTGAGGACTCCAGTTAGGGGCGGGACAGGACTTGCAAGCTGCAGCCCTGCTGCTGGCTACTGAAAGTCCAACCACTCAGGACCACTGACATGCTTTCCCCTAGGGTTTAGATGTATGCCCCTAAGTTCCTGTGCTGGAAACCTAGTCCCCAAGTCACATGTTCATGGTACTGGGAAGTAATTACGGTTAGATGAGGTCATCAGGGTTGGGCAGGCCCCCACGATGGCATCTGTGACTTCACAAGAAGAGGAAGAGAGACGCGCGCCAGCACGCCTGCGCGGCCACGGGATGACCTCCACCATGACACAACATAGCAAGAAGGCCTTCATTGGAAGCTGGCACCATGCTCCTGGATGTCTCTGCCTCTGGGACTGTGAGCCAGATAAACTACTGTTTCTTGTCAAGGAATGGACTTTTGACTGACATGTAAAAATTGTACACTGCCATTCTTCCCTGCTCTCAGGTGTTTTTCCCAACAGAAAATGGATGAAGACATTTTCCTCGCCAGATTCTCCTTAAGCTGCCCCACACTCTCATGAGACAGGGAATCGTTTAGGAATGAAGACGCCGAAGCAGAGAGAGCTTGGGTAACTTCTACAGCATCACACAGGCAGTAAGCGTGTGGCTGGGCTCAGATGCAGGCAGTCTGGCTGAGGTGCTTTAGTCTGAGGCATCTACGCTAACCCACAGGAGGAGCATGGGCTGTGGAGTGAGGACTGGGAATGACTGTCTTGGTCACTGCCTTTCTGCCCATGGTGGGAGACCCTGGGGAGGGGTCTGTGTACCACCCCAACAGCCAGAGCACTCCTGTGGTGAATACTAGTAGAGTGATGACAGCATCAACAGCAAAACCTTGCAAATTCCCAGTTCCCGGATGACTCACGCACATGCCTGTGCTGATGCGGGCTGGCCCTGCCTGAACCATTCACAGAGCCAGCTAGCAGTCCACTGGAAATCTTGCATAGTATGGACTGAAGCATAGTGACACCTTGTTTTCCACCATGTCTTTTGCCCTGAGCCTAAACTTCAACCACAGAGGAAAGAGAAGGCAGCTTGCAGCAAGACAGAGGTGGCTGCCTTCACAGAATCCTCAATGCAGGTCCAGCACTGAGTCAGGGCTCTGAGTGTGTCACCTCAATAGAAGGCTCATTAAGCAAGCAAACACACCCCTCACCTACTAGGAGAAAGAAATGTAGGTACAAAAGATGTGGATCCCAGCAAGCACTAAATGTCCATTAGCCCCCTTCCAGCTAAGTGAGCACTCACCCTGTGGGCTTGTTTTCTCATTTGCAAGTCTGTGGAATTGGAAATTGACCAAGGAAGACTCCCAGAACTTGGTCGGAGCACAATGCTCTCTGTGTCCTAGCACCAGTTGTCGGGACAGCCACACAAAATCTATCCGCCCACCAGGTTGTGGCAAGGATCTCAAAATGAGAGAATGTGACAGGTGTTCTGTGCACTTCAAATCCCCCAAGAAATAGCAATCACCACTTACACAGCAGTTACTGTGTGCCACTGTTCTGAAGGCTTTTCATAATTCAGGCACTTACTACACTGGAGAACCTGTAAGAACCCATTTTACAGATGGTAAAAATGAGGCACTGAGCTGGTACATAAGTTGCTCAAGGTTATACAGCTAAGTAATGAAACCAGGATTTGGAATCCTCATGATTAATTTATTTGAATAGCCACTTAACCATGCCTCAGGTTTTGATAACCTCAGAATAAATAGTATACTGGAAACCGGTCTCCTCACTTGTGATTAACACTAAGCTTCTGTGGACCGTGTATGGCAACAGTTTGATTATGCCATAAAGATGTGCACAATGCGGACAGAGGGGCACCGTAACTATGGAACTGAGCACTGTAAATGAGCTCCTGTGTCCAACAGCTCCTTCGTGTAACCCGCAGCTAAAGTCTAGGAAATTTTTTTAAGGAGTGGCTAGAAGAAAGAACAAGGAGAAACTGCCTTCTGGTTAATCTGATGTGTGTTAGACCTTTTCCTGCCCTGGCAAGATAACCTTTATGGCATTTTACATTCTGTGATTTTCAAGAGAAAATTCAGTTTGTCCCTGATCCACCTGTGGCCACAGACCTTCTGCTTTAAAATATGTCCCTTTACTTTCCTTCTGCTGTCTTCTCTCCCTTCTCAGTTGTCAGTTCTTTTGTGCCTTTGCCTTCATGATGCCCTGGACCTTCCTGCCAGTCCCCTCTTGGTCCTGAGAACTACTGAGTTGCGAGTCATGGAGTCTTCACATAAAGCGAAGCACCAGACCTCACCAGCCGGGCTCGGGGAGAGATCTGCCCATTCCCTTAGTATCTGAGGGATGTCCTTCCCTGAGTCATGCCTGAGGTCGGGGCTTCCCTCTAAGCTCTGGAATTTCATAGACGGGGTCCTGGGGCTGAGGACAGGGCTGCTGCTTGCCTGTCTGGGGAGTGGAGTGGTTAGAACAGGAGCAGGGCTTCCGGTGCCCAGTCCAGCCCCAGTTTTAGAGCAATGCATCACCCCTCGCACCAGCACGTACGAGGAGAAGGAAACGCCAGAGGTTAGGACAACACGCAGCATCAGGACGCTGCTGGAGACAGGTGCCGTGACTGCACGGTCTTATTTGGTCCTTGGCAAAGTGGGGATGATCTTCCCAAACCCGGTGCTCAGAAATGGCTGGCCTGTATGTTCCCAATCTTACACCACCGTCAGTGGAGTTTCCCATCCCTGTGCTGTTCAAATTCTTCTAAGTCTACCGGGTTTTTCAAGGAAGGATGGATTGGCTGCAATTAAAAAACAAAGAGACGAGACAGCTCTGCAGCACCAAGGGGCTTGTGCGCTGTCAACAGTGTGGAGGTAATTTATAAAGATCTGCTTGGTTTATTTCCTGATCTGCTGACTCTCCCAAGCCCACTGCCTCCCTGACAAGCCTCTAAAGAGTGTGTGCAAATTGGCACAAGCAGGCGTAACTCACTCTTCTTATCACAATGGTGGGGGTCCACATCCTTTCTACTCAGGCCAGGGAAGCCGAATAAAGAGGGGTTCAGGTCTGGGGGACGACCAGGATGCTATGCGAGGCTGTGTACAGGCTGCAGTGTCGGGGAAGCCACTGCAAACCCAGATCACCTCCCGTGGCATGGTGAAGTCTCGCTTGTCCTTCCCAAACCCCGGGCACTCAGAGACACTCTGTGATTGGCGCTGGCAGACAGAAATAGAGGACGTTGGTGTGGGTGAGATGGGGGAAGGAAACAGGGGGAAGAGGGAAAAGAGAAGGAAAGAAGATGAAGGGAAGTGGGGAACTCGGAGCAAATGCAGAAACCGGAAGAGGAAGGGGAGGTGGGAGGAAGAAGGAAAGCTAAGCCTTGAGAGAAGACAAGGGACCCCCTCCCACTTTTGACCGTGCTCTGTTACTGCTCCACTCAAATGCATCACCTGTGCAAGGGGGTGCACGTGGTGGGCGCAGGATGGCACGGGAGAGCCCAGGCCTTGATCAGAAACTACTTCTCAGGTGGTATCATCCGACTGGGGAGCTTACCAGCCACTACCCAGGCACGGTCCCTGGCTCAGCAAAGCCTCAGGAGGCCCTGCCCCTCCAGCCCTGGCCTTGCCCTGTCTTTGTCCGAGGGAGTCTTGCTGGCTCTGTCTTGTGTCCGACATGAGAGAGCTGAGTCAATGACAGTAGGTTGCACAGTGGCCAAGACGAGAAAAATGATGCAGAAATGGGTATCGGGGAGTGTCAGGTAAGCAGGGCAGAGGTTAGCCTGTGTGTGCGGACAGGGGAAGATAAGCAGCAGCGAGCCTTGGAAGCAGAACAGCATTTGCATGGCCGAAGTCTCTCCCCTGTTCAATAAGCTTGCTGGGTGGGTCCCAGCCCTCTCCTGGGAGCAGCCTAGGGGGCTCATCTGTGTCCTGCACCAGGGGGACTCTCGGGTCCCACAACTGTCCTGCGAGGCCCAGAAAGCCCTCCACGCACCATCATCCCCGAAGAGGAAGGAGGAAGAACTGGGGGGGTCACACCCCTCTCTATAAAGACTCCAGGCTGGATGCAGTGGCTACTCGCGTTTTTCCCAAGAGGCCTGCCTGCTCGGTCAGGGACATTCACTCATCAAGCACGGCTGACAGGCCTCCTGCCACTCTCTGTCTCATCTCTGAAATTCTCTGGTGTGCAAAGGCACGGACCTGGGCTACAGCCGGCCCTGGTGGTAACAAGGTGCAGGTAATTACGATACTCTCGCAGCTGTTGGTGGCTTTTGGGGAAGTCCTAGCCGAAGCAGGTGCCGTGCAGGGCTGGGTGGAAGCGGCTTTTCCCACTATCCTCAGGGCCCGGCTGGGCAGAACCTAAATGTTCTCTGATGGCTGTGGTGCTGGGATGCTGTCGAATCTCAAGGAAACCATGTTGCTTCAGGTGGAGTTTTTACAAAGCCGTCCTCCTGGGGTCAGCAAGCCCCTGTGCTATGCGGCAGGACAGAACCAGCAACCCCGACCTGTAATTCTACTCGTCACCATTAACCTGAGGCTGTGGGGAAAGGGCCCAGGCACACTGCACGTGTGAGAAGGGGGCAAACCTCTCGTCATTTCACCTTCTGCTTAAAGCCCAAGGGTGCAGAATTCCAGCTACAATAATGCTTTGCTGTCTGCATTAAAAGGTCTAACCCCCCTCACAGCCTCACTGCACTACAAAGAAGTACATGGTGCAATCATTGGCATGCAGCCGTTGTGGTCAGGGCCTGTACCCACTTGTAATATTGAGCCCCAGGCATGAGGGAAAATCTGGGCGGCTCTCCTGGGCATCACACTTCTGGAGCTGGGGGACTGCCTGGGTGCAGGGGTTGGGGAGGCCCCCTGTATTTCCTTTGTGAGGGAAATAGTCCCTTCATCGTCTTTTTTTTTTGACAGGCAGAGTGGACAGTGAGAGAGAGAGACAGAGAGAAAGGTCTTCCTTTTGCCGTTGGTTCACCCTCCAATGGCCGCCGCGGCCAGCGCTGCGGCCGGCGCACTGCGCTGATCTGAAGGCAGGAGCCAGGTACTTCTCCTGGTCTCCCATGGGGTGCAGGGCCCAAGTACTTGGGCCATCCTCCACTGCACACCCGGGCCACAGCAGAGAGCTGGCCTGGAAGAGGGGCAACCGGGACAGAATCCGGCGCCCCAACCAGGACTAGAACCCGGTGTGCCGGCACTGCAAGGCGGAGGATTAGCCTAGTGAGCCACGGCGCTGGCCCCTTCATCGTCTTCTAAAATACCAGTACCCCCCCCCCCCCAGTAAAAGAACCCAAGTACCAATCTGCTATGCAACAGAGTTCCTGTAACAGAATCTCTTCTGCAAAGGCCCAATGTCCCGGGACCAGGCACAAGAATTCTGTCCTCAGATGCTAACAGGGGAGGGGACACACACCTCTCCTGAGCTCTGTCCTGAACATGAAAACAGAACAAGCACTCCTCCACTGATATGAATAAGTGTGTTATCAGTTACCCCTGCCAGACATGCGTGCTCGCGCTCTCTCTCTGTCACACACACACACACACACACACACACACTCTCCATGGATGTATAGGCCATGCACCTGAAGGGCTGGAGCAGACCAGACAGCAGTCCTGAAATCTTGAAATCAATAAGCAGTGGATTCGGATGCCATTTCCGCTCTTAACAAAAACACCTGCTTCTTGACAGAGGCGTCCCCTGGGGAATTCCAGAGAGGGGGAGGGACGCAATGTCCACATCCAAGGGAAGGGAAGCAGCGACAGCAGGGATCACTTCTTCTTCTTCTTTTTTTTTTTTTTTATTTTTTTGACAGTCAGAGTGGACAGTGAGAGAGAGAGACAGAGAGAAAGGTCTTCCTTTGCCGTTGGTTCACCCTCCAATGGCTGCCGCGGCCTGCGCACTGTGGCTGGCGCACCGCGCTGATCCGATGGCAGGAGTCAGGTGCTTCTCCTGGTCTCCCATGGGGTGCAGGGCCCAAGCACCTGGGCCATCCTCCACTGCACTCCCTGGCCACAGCAGAGAGCTGGCCTGGAAGAGGGGCAACCGGGACAGAATCCGGCGCCCCGACCGGGACTAGAACCGGGTGTGCCGGCGCCGCAAGGCAGAGGATTAGCCTAGTGAGCCGCGGCGCCGGCCTCAGAATGGCTTTCAACTTGAGACTGTGGCTGGGACAAACGCTGTGCCCTTGGCTGTGCTCTGTGTAGGGACCTCGAACTCACTTCTGTTTATCTTCCCAGTGGGAATTTACCAAGATCTTCAGTGACCGCTCTGGAGGTCTGAGGATGGAGCCCCGTTAGCCACCTTTACCTGCTTTGTCCCTGTCTGGGGGAGGGGAGATGCTCACGCCAACCTGCATTCTCAAATAAGCTTTTCACAATAATTTGGCATCTGTTAAAAGTCACTGGAAGATTTTGGATAACTGCTGTTCTTTACACAAGGGCAAATGTATGGGCAAAGACAAGGATCTGCCAGGAATGAAGTCCCTGTGAGGGAGAAGGGCTGCTGAACCCCACACATCTTTCTATCCCTAAGCCAAGCCCCCCCCCCCACCCAGAGGGGGAGCCCGCTTGCAACCAACTCACTACAAGGCAGCACCTTACCTTGGAGTCCAGCTGCTGCATGTAGGACCAAAGATACTCTATGTTGGCTCCGAAAGGGTGGACGTGCAGAAACGTTGAGATGATGCCTGCGTGGAGAAGCCAAACATCAAGAAATTATTTCCAGGCAAACAGGCAGGTCCGTGGAGGAATGTCATCTAACCGCGAGGCCGCCGCCATTGCGGGCCAGCCATTTCTCATGGTGCCCAAGCGGCGTTCTCCAACAGCCCTTGCTGCTCAGCGGGAGAGTCCCGGGAACGTGGCAAAGAGCGCGCTTTGTCTCCTGGAAAGCTAAAAGTTAGCAAAGCCAGGCCCTGAGGTGACGCGGAGATGGCTAGAGGTATGACTAAACAAAGACTCCTGGAAGCATTTCAACTACCAATTTTATGCTTGATTTACCAATGTAAAATTGTAGTTATTGGAAGGATAAAATTATCTCCTTTCTTTCCCTCAGTGGACTCTGCGGTGTGAAAATGGCTCACCCAGCTGCGTCGGAAACCACACTGCCTCGCATTTTCCTGATAACCACAGTTGCTAGTTAACGAAAACTATTTAATCCAGATTTCCCTTAACTGCCATTGAAAAAAAACACACATTTTTCCCGAAACACTTGTCTCCGCCCCTGCCTGTGACAGTTGTGTCGAGAGAGCCTGCTCGCTCTCCTCTTCGCTCTGCTGTAATTTACAAGATCATTTTTAAAGGTCTGGGGATGGATGACTTGGCTGGAGTTTGAGGATAAATCAGAAGGCTTTTCCATAGTGAAAATCAACTGTCAACATCGCGCTGACAAATGAAAAGCTGGTGTCAGGGCCAGAGTGAAAAACATTACCTTCTTATCCTCCTTCTCTGAAAGCCAGGGCCAAAATAGTGAAAACGGACCGAATGCTTCTTACTAAGAAGTTGTGTTCAGATGGACATTTTTTTTTAGTTCTCTTTCAAAGAGGTTTCGAGAAGAATTTAATTCCACAGTTTGTTTATTCCAAGTGCTGATGCTTGGGGGCCACAGGTCAAGGTAAAGACCCCAAGCCCCAGCCCCACTCCCTTGCCTGAAATGCCACTGTGTGCAGAGTACTAGGTGAACACATTGTTCATGCACTAGGTCTTCCTGTGTTTGCAGGCGACCTTGGCTTGATCTGGGATAGGGTCTCAGGGTCCCCTGCCCTCCCATGTGCGCCTGGGATGCTGCAAGATGAGTCGGTTTAAAAAAAAAAAATATCCCAGTTTATTGTTAGGCCAAGGGCAGAGAACGAAAGGGTCAAGGTCAGCACTTGCTAGCCCCTGTCCTCAGACTGTGTTTAGGTTTTCACAGTTTACAGGGAGCTGATGAAAGTAGCAACAAGGCACTACATCTCCCTCCAGAGTTAAAAATTTCAGTTTCCAGAGACTGACCCATTCTTCCCGAGATACAAAGAATGACCATTTTTATTCTGAAAGTATAGCCTCCTCTGTTTTTGGCTAAAGTCTCTTTTATGAACTAATGGTAATGGTAGAGGCAACGATGGAAGTATTAATATCTTTAAGTGGCAGGATAGTAGCTTTTAAGATACTTAAGTGTTACTTGCCCCCCCCCCCCAACCCTTTGTTTATTTATTTATTTTTTCAAACTAGTCGCTGCTGCTTCCCATGTCTGAAATTCTCAACTGCGGTGAGGCAGCCTTTTGTAAGTAATTCTGCTGCAGATACGTGTTAAAATTCAGACGCTTTGTGAACAAGTTCCTTAACAAATTTAGAACAGACGTTAAACCATTGCTTTTATTTGTATTACTTAAGTGGGAGACAGGGGGCAGGATTACAGCTCACAATTGCCTCTGTCAGGATGGTGCGTGGGGCTTTGGCTGGCCATCCCAGGCTGAGGACAAGAGGGACAGTGCCCACCACTTCCTGTGGAGAGATCCCAGCAACTGGCAGGCAGGACAGGGCAGGCAGAAGGAAACAGTCAACTCACACTTTGTGAGCAGGTGCAGGTACTCCCAGACAGAGGCGCTGCGAGTGCTGGGAGCAGCACTGCTTCTGCTGGTTGACATGTGCTCAGGCAGAAGGAGGCTGGCTGGGCTGGTCTTGTGCTCACCTGGGGAGGGGTTGCAGCACCGCAGCTTTTGGGGTGACACCAGTCTGTCTCCTGAGAGACAAGGGTGTACCTCTAAAGGCAGATGTGTTTGAGAAGTCTTATGAACAAACTACCCCAGGAGCCCCAGTAAATACCAGAAAATGACATTTCCTTTTCCACCATCCCCACTGGATGGAGATGCCTCAACACCTCCTGGATAACCAGTCTCTCCCATGAATGCCTAAAGGAGAGTGATGTGAATTTAAATATCTTCAACAACATGAACAGCACAAGTCCTAGGGGAGGAGGGACAGGGTGGTGGGACAGGTTGATAATGCTTGGCCAGCTAACAGGGGAAATTCAGGGCCAATTGAAATGGGAGCACATGGAGTGCTTCCATGGCCTTCGCAAGGCTGGCAGAGCTCTGTGTCCACGGACCTGTTCCCCTGTTGCCTACTGTCCCTCAAACCAGTCCTCACTCCAAGAAACTCTGCATTTCGATGGCCCTTATGTGTCCTGGGTCAGTCCCAGAAACATACTGTAGATAATAGATATACGTCAAATGAATTGATTGGCTAGCACTTAGAATAGCCAGTGTATGTGTTTAAAATTCCTGTTAGTCTATTCCTGACAAATGGGGATACATAAGAACCTGAACATTTCTACAAGCCGTAACAGATGATGTGGTAACTCTTTCAGAACCTGGAATGTTGAGGTCTTAGTCACCAAGGACCCTTGCCCTTAGCCTATTCTCTTATTGATGCAGAAGAATAGAGTAACTAAGGTGTTTGAGGCATGAAACATTTTTATTGAAACCACCTGCTTATCAAACTAAGAGGGAAAATACATGATTTCTCCATAACCTTCTAAATTCACGTTCTAAGTCCTGACACAGAGTACTTTTTTCTTAGGAAGGCATTCAGAACCATCTTGGTGGCAGCTGATATTCACAAGACGTTGGCTTTTGTGATGAGTTCAGCAACTGCTCCTTGTGGGACCAAGGCAGGCAATCAGATACAGGTTCCCTGTATGTTCCTGTGGGTGGCAGCCCAGCTCTGCACCATTGGAAGAGACACAGCAGAAAGGGAAGCATTGCAGAGTCCCTGTCCTCCGTCAACCCTCCTTGTCCTGACTCCCCAGCCTGTGCCTCCCCATCTCAGTAGCATCCCAGAAGCATCGGCTGAGCCATCTGAGACAACGTAGTTTCCCTGCCCTATTTTATTTTTTTGTATCAGATTCACTTCTGGGTAGATTCCCAAATAACTAACCAAAGTCTCTTTGCAGCTCCTTCAAAGGAACTGGGGTGTTCCCTGGGAGCGGGTAAAGGACAGCTGCAAATGCAAGCTCATAGAAAGTCCTACACACCCAGGAAATGGAGACTCTTTTGTGGTTCTCTAGAAGGGACCTAAAGGCACGATAAAAGGAAAACGAGGAACTGTGAGGGTGGAGAGCTGGAGGGTGTGCAAAGGCACAGACTCAACAACAACCGGTCTTGGCCGTTTCTGTGAAGAAGCGGAAGGTCTCCATATTTAAGAATGGGTTTTCCAACAATGGAAACCACAGTATCAGTAGCTAATGCAAGGAAATGAAAAGGAGCTGAGGAGACTGTCAGTACAATTGGGACTACTGCGCATCTCAGAACCTAAAGGTTATTAGGAAGCCCACCGACACACGCTTTATGTCAAATCATTCTGAGCGTTTCCCGTCCAAAGCATCTAGTGATTCTATTCTTGTGGCAAAGACTAGGAAAGAGACATCTAAACTAAACAATTGGCACAAAATGTTCACTGCTTCATCCATTGAAGTCCCAAGGCAGGGACTAGGACTGCAGGGAAGTGGTAAGGCTGAGTCCACTGGTTCTGGTTGGAGCCACTGGGCAGGTCCATTTTCTCAGGTTCTGGGAGCACAAAGGGCAGGGGACACATGGAAGCAAAGGCTCTGTTTTGCACTTGAGTCCGAGCTTTCCACTGACATCTAAATGGAGATTATGAATGGCAGTTGGAGATGGTATAAAGGTGTGCATCGTGGGCAACACAAAAGGGATTTGAATATAGCATATTCATTGAGATCACCCAGGTAGGTAAGAGGTCTCAAGACTGAGCTCCAAAGCCCTAAATACACCAGAGGTTGAGCCGAGGAACAGCCATCAAGGGGGTCTGAGAGACAGAGGCAACAAGGAAGAGTGGCATTGTGATGGTCAAGAAAGGAGGAGCGAGTGCTCATACTCCCAGATGTGAGCTGTCAGACAGAGTGGAGAAACTGGCACAATGAAGTTCTCTGGTCCTAAGGACAAAAGGAGTTTTGGTGTGAGGATGCAAGCCAGACCGTGGTGGGTCGCAGAGAGAAGGGAAGAGTAGAAGGGGCGACCATGAGTGAGGACTGTGCTTGGGGAAAGTTATGTTTTGCATGGGAAGCAGAGAAATGGGATGTTGGTTCAGAGAGGTCAAGGGGTCAAGAAAGGCTTTTCCTTCTCTTTGGTTTTAAGGGCACAAGTTCATGGTTACATGTGGATGTAGATATTCCTCTACTTACATAAAAGAGCACTCTCTATGAGGTGATGTGGCTTTCATGATAGTCTTTATAGATTACAGAATATTAAGTTGAAAATGATCATTTAATCAAGTCTCCACACTTTGCACAGTATGAGGACTTCGGGCCAGAGTGGATAAGTGATTACAGGGTAGACCAAACCTGTAAATACTCAGAATCTCCCCTTTACCTTAGATTGCCTAGAGATCATAAGGTATTGTGGTTTGTCACAGGGCCAATCCATTCTTCTTCCATGTTGAATCCTAGAAACTCCTATTGCAAAAATTACATTGATTACCTGATGAGAATAAATTATCAATTTGTACATCAGTCAGGACAGCATGTTGTCCTCTTTCAATGCAATGAGAGATGGAATCCCACTGGAATACTCTCTCCTGCCTCTGGCTGTTTAGAGTTTTCATTCCAAACTCTGTGTCACATCGGCAGATTCTGGCTGAGATCGACTTCCTCTGTATCCACACTGGTTGGTGGTCTCTCCTGGGAAACTTCAGA